CTTCTCCTTTCTCTTTTCTTTCCCTTCTTCAAACATCCCGCGTGTTGATGAACCGACACAGAAACTAGCTCTAGATGCTTCTTTCAGGTTCACTAAAGACTTTGCCGCTAGATATAGTAGATATGGTAGATATAGTAGATATAGTAGATATAGTAGATATAGTAGATATAGTAGATATAGTAGATATAGTAGATATAGTAGATATAGTAGATATAGTAGATATAGTAGATATAGTAAATATCGGCCTTCAGGTCCATCGCCAAGTTAGCTTTTCAACATACTGCCTATAGAATCCACTTCTTTATCAGCTCTTCCTGGAAGCAATGGCGATCGAGAACGCTGCTGGGCGAGCTACCACCACCACTGCTACAGTCACTGCCACTGCCACCGCTACGACAACTACAAGTGAGCAATATCCTGTGGCTACTGTGGCTGCCGTGGATGCTGTTGAGTGTGGTTGTAATAGGTATTGAGAATGGACTGGTATCTGCGACGTGTGTGGCGGTCCGGGAGAGAATACTATCCTGATGTAATAGCGTTAGTATATACTTGGTAGTAAATGAGTAACTGAACAATACAGAAACACCTCGGCTATAGCCACGACCTCTGCTGCAATTACCACGACCGTAACCTCCTCGGTAGTATCCTTGACCTCGACCAGCTTGGTAGTTCTCACCTAGACAGTAATATTAGTATGAAAATAAGTCTGGCAGAAAATGGTAGACAAACGGTGATTATTGACAGTGGAGGCAATGCGCTAAAGGACAAGCAGACCAAGAAGGAGGACAAGATAATGGACAATCCATAGACACTGATCCGGCGGAAGATCCGGCCGTAGCAGCAGCAGCTGCTATCATGGAGGAGCTGGCTGTGGCAGGGTCAACTGCATTGCCTCCGGACAACAACGATGTGAACATGGACGGTGTGGATGCTGGTCAAAATTAATCATTAACGTGCTGGAGGCTATTTTCAAGTTTCAAATCTAAGGCTTGCTCAAACGCCAGTCCTATTGTTGAAGGGCTCAATTAGTCCTATTAAGTGCATATGTAGATGTCATGAATATCTTGGTATAATATCCCAACGCTGCAATACATGTACCTACATCAGCCTATTCAAGATACGTGTCCTGAAATGAAAGCATTCTGAACCAAACGCAGTAAATCAGGCTAATAAATATCGTGCAAATATCTCAAATAAATAAGTCCAGAATTTGCGCTGTTCTTTCAGCGCGTAGATATAACTTATCGGCTTCTACACTGGTCGTCTAAAAGGGTGTGCCTCCGTGTTGAAAACATACTCATCCAAAGACATCAAATCAGAGTCGCTAAAGATAAGGTAGAAGTACTTGACAGTTTCGCCTAACCAGAACGTCTTCATTGGTGCCTGTTAGGTTATCTATCTTCACAAAGGGTAACGGGAAACTCACCTCCATCGAATCGCCCTTCTCACCCAAGCTCACCGTCACATCTCTGACAATAGCAAACGCCAGCTCCGTCTCCGTCTCTCTGACAACATTCTCCCACATTCTCCACGCGGCATCTCGCCAGGTTTGATCTCCTGTGATGCGCCACATGTAAAACACGCTCTCAATGGCTTCAGGTCGCAACAGGTAGCTTGCGCCGTTGACACTCAAAAATCCGCCGGGCCTCCTGGGATCATCAGTAGGGGGCATAAGCTCCGCGTTAAATGGGCATGGGCCGTCTAATTTCGGACACGCTACGAAAGTAGCAGACTCTGGCATTACGCCGGACGGCATGGCATCGTATTCCCACACACAACCGGCCGTGAGACGAGAGCCCAGGTCGACATAATCTGACTTGTCCAGTAGCTTGCCTGCCAACGCGTACATACCGCCGGCGAAACAAGTCAGATGGTCCATCTTAGCTGTAAACGTAGCATTTCGAGTGTTGTCGTCTATCTCGACCTCGCCCGCAAGAAGTATATTTGCGTCATTAGGAGTCATTGGACGAAACAATAAATTGTCTCTGATAGTGTCAAGAGCCTTGATCGCCATTTCAGGGTACTCAGTATCAAGTCCTCCAAGGAGAGGGTGCATCTTGACCAGGTATTCATACTGAGAGTCGGCACTGCCTGCAATTGAATAGTGGCTTTCAAGCATTTTTTCGTCGCGGTAGTTCATCCAAATGGGCCACATGCCGGGAAGGGTAGTCTCATTTTGGAATCGGCGGAAGAAAATCTTGATTCTTTCAACGGCATCATAGTATTTGTCATTTCTGGTCAACATCGCAAGCCTGGTAAACTCCATGCATAAAGTTCCACCAGCAGCGGCACTCATTTTGCGCTCCGCAGTAGTCTGGCCCTGCTTCGCCTTTTCGTAGTCTAACCAATGAGAAGGCAGACGGTTGGGTGTATCAAATGTGGCGTAGAGAGTGTCGCCAAGCTCAACCGCCTTTGCAAGCAAGATGGGCTCCTGAGAGAGATCATATGCGGCAAGCAGCCCGCCGAGGTATCGAATTGTCACTTCAAACAAGTTCACCACGCGACCGTCTTGAGTTTTTGACCAGTCAATCAACGCTACTTCCTTGACCGCCAGTGAAAACTCGTCTTTCAATCCCATAATCCAGAGGGTGTCCAAGGCATCGACCAGCTGTGCCGACCATCCGCTAAGCGACGTCTTGCCCTTGGCCGACAGCGGCATCAGCTCGTCCTTGGTCCATGCGAATTTCTTATAGGCCTCCCAACTCTTCAAGAATGCCTTTTTGACAGCCTGCATCCTAGCCTCTTGACCATCGGTTCGCTTATTCAACTGTATCTGTGGGAGCTTCTTGGGAGATCCCGTGGGAAGTTTCTTCATGTCCGTCGGAGGATGGTACACCTTTGCTTTGGACCAGTCGTAGCTCGAGGGCACGTACGGGTACTTGAATTTTCCGCCGGCTGGCTGTCGCCGAGGAAGGAAATCGAAGCTGCTCCATAGTAAGAGGGCGACGCAGACGAAGAAGATGAGCGCGGCATATCGACGGGAAATCATGATGTGTATCCGTTTTGCGAAGAGCACATGGTATCTCGTCTTGGGTATGAAGAAGGACCAAAGAAAAAAAAAAAACCAAAGACCGAAAGACAACGCAGGTGGCACGCCTAAGAAAAGGAGAGGTTGTTAAAAGAAGAATTGAGGCACGAGATCTACATGTAACCTTGGAAATGTGGCGGGGAGGTTAGTGGCTGGCGGTGGGCGCAGCCGTCTTGGCGAAGTCCCCTAACACCGGGGCCTCGGCCTCAATTACGCTGTGGCATTTGGGAGCTCGGGCCCGGAATGTATCCATGGAGTCTTACAGCTTGGAGAGAAGAAGGTAACAGACGTGCTTATAGCCGCAGACTTGGCTATAGAAACGACCAAGGCTCTTTTCTACCTCTTCGCTTCACAATCTTTTTCCAGAATCGAACTTCTTTTTCTTCTCTCTTCGGCTTCGCACTCTAGCCTGTCTCCGAAGCCAAGCAATTTTAGCGCTGCGGCCTTGATCCAGCTTAAAATATGGAGATGCGCCTGATTGGCCTAGTCTTTTAAGCTGTCGGGTAAGGTACGGTACCTAGGAAAACTAGAGACATGTAGAAGAACTGCTGCAATCTATGAAACTGATGCAATAGCAGATGGATGGCTCAAGAGATTATTTAAGTGTTACTGGGATTATTAGCATTTTGAACAATTAGAGCTTCCCCTCATCCGAGCAAGTACTTATGTCATGGCATCGTACCGGCATACATGCATACATGGATCTGGAGTATCGAGCCGCTCTCCTCCTCTTCAAGCTACATGTAGACTACCTACTACTACTTACCTACATAGTACTGTTTGATACGCCTTCTTGTATCATGCCACAACTAGACATTAGTACCGAGATAGGCAATTGATAGCGTGCCATGGCAGCATTCGGGGTTCTGGCAACATCAAGATAATACAATATTTGTCAACTAGACCTCATAAGCTGACTTTTCATCCAGCATTCCAGGAACAATGGTTGTATGTGTAAGATGTCGACGGGGTAAATGAACCAACACCTTTCTGACATCTGTTCAGTTGCACGGGCCAGCATAGGACCCGAGTTGTCCCGAAATCTCAAATTTGTACCATTTTAGCAGTTTATGTGCTGTTGCAGGTGACGGCTCATAGAGAACAAAAGCAGTGAACAATTTCCGTGCAGTCTTGGATCGACTTCCGACAAATCCTCTGAGCATCTTGGTTCCTTCATCCACTTCTGCGCCATCTTGAACTTTGAACTGGATGTGTTTTCGGTCTTTGACCACTCGTATGATGCAAATCCCCACGCTTCTGCTTAAAGATGGCAATGCTGTCCCCATGGTAAACACAGCTTCCCCCCTCGAGTCAGGTCCATAAGTGAGATTTCACTAAAACAGACATTTCAGCTCGGATTCGGCACTGGGACTGCTTGGTACAAGGATAGCTCAGAAGGTCCTCTGAGTCTCTAGCTCGTCGAACTCCTAAAGGTAGCCCTTGCATAGGGCTTTGTACATGTCGATACTGCAGACTCATATGGAACTGAGCGAGAGGTTGGCCTAGCAATCCAGCTAAGTGGTATTCCACGAGAGAAGCTCTTCATTATCACCAAGGTGCAGGATGGATGGGAAGACGTCCCCGCAGCTTTGAACGCCAGTCTTGAGAAACTACGGCTGAAATATGTGGATTTGTAAGGCTTCTCACCTAGTACGGAGCTACCCTTACTCACAAAGAGCAGGTACCTTTTGCACAACCCGTGTGATTGCATCCCACGAAGGCATACAAGCAGCATGGAAGGGACTCGAGACCGTCAAAGCGCAAGGAAAGGCCAGGTCTATTGGCATTTCCAACTTCCAGAGACATCACATTGAAGCGCTTCTCGAGACATGGGCTGTCAAACCTGTAATGAATCAGCCGGAATTTCCCCAATATCTCCAGCGCGCCAACCATTTCGTGCCTTGGATGCGAGATCATGGCATTGAGATATCGTTTTTCAGAACTTTGGCACCCATCATTGTAGGTAAAGGAGGGCCTCTGGACGAGTTGCTTCCGTCGCTCGCAAAAGAGTGTGGGGTAGCAGAATCGGTAGTATTGCTGAGCTGGTGCGTTGAACAGAATATTGTTTCCATCACTACAACGTCCAATGAGTCTCGCCTCAACGAGTACAGCGCTGCTACTGAAGTAGTTCTAAAATCAGTAGATGTCGAGAAAACTAGAAAGGCTGGGTTCAAGCATCATTTCAGGTGGTGGGGAAAGGACTTTTTTTTTTAGCAGACGATAGATCTTAGAAGTTGCCAGACAACGATAAACAAGTAATGGAACTATGACTTCTCATTTGCCTGGAATTGAGCGTTCTTACATGGGGTTTCATCAACCGTCGTTCATGCGATGCCTGCTTGCGTCGCCCATCCAATGAACTAGTCCTATTGCCGGGAAACAAGACATCACGGCATGGTCAGATCTGCAAGGTGGCCGAAAGTCTAGGAAAAGAGAGATGCCGAGCTTGGACGCCATGCTGCCCCGAACAGCAGCCCATCCTAACACTTTGAGCATTCCCGAGTTTCTCTTCGTTTCTACTCATATAAATTGAGATTTTCTCGCTACTGAATGAATAGAATATCTGCATCAGGCGCCACCTACTCTTCTTTTGCTCGACTTTGTAGACAACGCAAGCAAAGGTAAAGATCGAGCCTTTGCACGAGATAAAGGTGCATGTGGTTCATGAATCAACGCCTCGGCTAGACTTTATAGCGCTGAAGGGGTCTCGGACACACCAAAATCGTTGGAGTATGCAGCATTCCTAACCAGAGGCTTTGACCATTGAAGCTACGGGATAATTTATGTGTTTTTGAGGGGGTTCATCGGGTGTTCATGCAGGATACATGCAGTTTGCCCTTTATGGACCCGAATGTTCAAACGAGAAACGTGGCGTCTGCGGCCTGATACTCTTGAAATCTAAATATCAGTCAGATTCGTTGACTGTGCTTTTAAACATCTTCCGATCAGTCTTCACATTATCAGTGCGGCGGGATCAGAAGCCAGGGCTTTCTCGTCAATTTGCCCAACCGCATTTGCAGCGAAAATGGATAGAATTGATACCCACGATGCGAGGAAAATCGGAAGGCTCTGGAAGCGCGGAAGATTTCCTTCATGATACTTTGGTATCATTGAGATCCCAATTTCCCACGTACGATAGGGCAAACCATCTTTATTCCCAGTGGAACCGTTGCACTGCACTTTATCATCATATTCAGGCTCTCAGAGACAAGGTGGCTGCCTTGAAACCCACAGAGCAAATCGACGATGATGACCAAAAGCGATATAATGAGCTCATATATGATGACATTTGGTGTGGTTCCATTTGACAAGGAAAATTGTTTAGATTAGTTCTGATTCAATTTCAGGTATATGATGGGGATCCCGCATTTTGTAGATGCCGAGCGTTCCCTCTTGTCGCTTTTAGAGAACGCGGAGAACAATTTCGTATTCACCGCTAAACTCCATCGAAGCCTGCTAGGACTCTATGAGAGAGCTGGCCGTAGCATTCGTGCTAAGAGTTTTGCATCCTTGGAGTTCGAATTAGTTGATAGAGATTCTTAGAGTATGAACAACGATGTTGCCAATGCCTGGAGCAATATGGGTTACACAAGAGTTTCTGCATTTGAGGCTTCAGATGGGGTACTCTATCTTGACAAGGCAATCTCGATGGCTAATGATGTACCTGAGCCAAGGCGCTACCAACAGTTCAACATTGACCGCTTCTTACGCAACAGAGGACGAACTAACGCGCAATTACACCGCCTCGAAGCAGCTGAGCGTGATGTTCAAGAAGCTGAGCACTCCCAGGAGAAAATCCATGGACCAAATAGCCATTATGATAGAGAGTGAGACAGCCCTGTATCCGTTTTTTAACTGCAACATTGGTTACTAATGCAAATGATTCTCTAACCCATTCAGAACCCAACATGAGCGTGCCAAGATTGAAGCTTGGCGTGGCAATCTTGAGAAGGCCTACTTACTCGCCACGAAAACTCTTTCTCTGATGTCTTCAGGCAAACCTACACACGCAAGTGTAATGGCAGCGCAGTACCGCCTGGGATGGGTTGCTATGCTACAAGGAGAAAATAAGCTTGCGTTGCAACACTTGGAACAGTCGCTGGCTATTTCAAGAATAAATGAGCAGCACAGGGGGGAGCTCGGGAGAGTTAGCCAGAATTGAATGGCGTATATCACAAGTCTTGGAGCGCATGGGCAGACAAGAAGATGCCAAGACTCTTCGAGAGGCGGCTGTAAAGGTCAAAGCTAGTCTGCTTGCTACCGGGGACTACGCTCAAGTTGAAGACGAGGAAAGTTCTTGGGATGCACTGGTCGGCATATTGTATCGTTAAGTTGCAAAGCCGGTTTTGATCGGTAGGTATAAGCACTGAGAAGTTGCTATTTGGCGATTACATTTGTTACTTGTTCAATATTTTCGTTTAGTCTATCCATATGAGATCATCGCGGATTACAGATATAACCTTGAACAGCATTCGAATGACAGGATGTTGGCCATTGCCGCTAATGGACTGGAAGGCTTAGTGTCACAACCAAAACTGGAATCACATAATACAGAGAGGAATATGCCTGCTGGATTGCACAACAAGCTAGAGTCAGGGGCAGAGAGATGTTTTTGAAGTTATTCCAAAACATGCCCTAGTTTCAGTCCCCTTTAATCACCCATCCCCCAATCCATGCCTTCTTCCTTGCATCCGCTTCCCCTTAGTGCAGTCGTTGTCGTCGTTTCAGTGGCGGAGTGCGGTCGTTCGTTCGGATATAGGGGTCAGGTAAGTTCAGTGATAACATAGTAAGGAGACACGAGTCAGGCTTCTTCGGTCATTCAACCGAGACACACCGATCGAAAGCAACCAAGGGTCCAAGTGCCCCAAAAAGGTGCCAAAAAAGGGAAACTGGAGAGAAACGAAAAGGGTCAAAAACGCCACCAAGGCAAAAGAAAAAGTGAATTCGAGCTAGTTCTGCGAACCAATTTCCATATCATCCTGGGGCAGGATACTGCCGTCGCCGTCGCCAAAGTCCGTGCTGCTACCTTGTTATCCACTTGGGCCTATTGTTGAGCCTGCGCCTGAGCGAGAAAGTTTCCCAGGTGTGCTTGTGCGTCTGCCTCGCATCGTGCTGTTGCTTCTTTCTCCTCGTGTGCACGCTGTAGCTATGTCTGTATCTCCTTGTAGGCTTCTTCGAATGTTCGGGGGCGCTGAGCCTGAGCTTGCGGGTGCGGGTGCGGGTACTGCTGCTGCCGTTGGCGTTGTCGTTGGAGAGGGTGCGCTGCGGTTGAGGCAGTGAAATTAGGCCTACCAGTGGTCACTGATTCTTTGTGCAGCGTGTCAAGCGTAGCGTCTGAAAACACCAATACTAGATGAAATAGAAAGACAACTTATGTCTTGGGCCATCTTGGCAGGCAGAGAGTTTTCCGGGGAAAAAAAGGGAGGGGGGGGCCCTGGGCAGCGTGCTGTGAAGAATGAAGAAAGCGATGGAAAGGAGAGTGATGGGGGAAAAGTTTAGAATTTGACGGACCTTGATACGTATTGAAGGTAGGTACTATGTAGAAGAGAAGGAAATATGGGGAAGCCAATCAAAGTCTTGGCTTAAGAGACTTGGGGTATCGAAAATCCCTTTTGGCTTGATTTCTACATCCAACTATCCCTTATGTCGTTCAGAGTGGAGGGACTTGGCACTTATAGCAACCCCACAGATCCCTAGCAATACTCCGTCCTTGACGATTATGTGGAGAAACTTCAATTCTATCCCCTGAAGCCTTGTTGAAATAGGACTAGTTAGTAGATTAGACCCAGCTCCCCCACAGATCGCCCAGGGTGTCTCAGAAGACCGTGCTGCTCAGCTTTGATCTCGCTCTGACTACCCGTCTGTGCCAAGCAGAAGTACAAAAGGATCTGAAGATATCCAATTGATATTCAAATTAATCAATTAATCAGAGCAGCCCAAAGGATATGACTTCCATATGTTGCATTCTCCTTTATCTATATGCCGGCTTATTAGCCACTTATAGGAGCCTTTCTTGAGACAACTTTGAGGTCGGAGAGGACCACTTTTAACGACATGGTAGTCTACATAGTGCCAATATGCGCAGAATCAGTCACACCAATGTCAAGATCCAGGTAGAAGAAACAGATAGGGACTGAGGAGTGACATTTACCGCAAAAGCTCGTATGTCATCCAGCTATTCAAGGTTGATGGTGGCTGAGCGGCATTGTGAGTTACTAATTGTTGTAGATCAGTTATCCTGTCCACGCTCACAAGCACAAAGAAACCCTGTATCAGCAGCTCATGATGGTATCGTTCTTGCTCCGTCATTGCCACTAAATTAATCGCTTCTTCTTCTTTATATCCCCCTTTACATGTATCATTTTGAGCTACAACGAGGTGTTGGATAATTTTTTCTCCATACAATATTATGTGTTTATTTATCTATGTTTGTAAGATGCATGATGGAGCCTCTCTGTGCCGCCTGCCACATTGACAAAAAGGACAGGCAAGCCGTATTGTGATTTGAAAGCTAGATGTATCACACAAATCAGAATAAAACCTGTGAAATCGACTAAATGCAGATGTAAAAGAAGTCCTCCGCAGAGCAAGGTTATGTGATACGATGCCTCAAGAAGTCTTCAACATCTAATTTGCCGCTAAATCTTGTCTTCATATGATGTATATCCCTGTTCTGTAAGCTGGATGCCTTTGGTGTATCAAAGCTAGCTATCCTGTTTCTTCTCCATATAATGGTATAATCGTAATCGAATCATTGAGTTGAAACTTGTGATAAGATCTTGACCCACGACAGGACCATCAACTAGGTCCAAGGAGGCCAAATGCAAATCTCCGCGTATGAGTTACGTTCTATGCTACTATATGCAGGTGGGAGCGATCTTTTTCTCTACTGCTCACTTGTATAGTCCTTACTGTCGAGATCACTGAGAGTATCTTTGAGCTGAACGTTAGGAGACGGCGTGTCTCGGTAGATTGATGACGAGAGAGTGTATTTCGCCATAAAGGCTGATTGAAGGAAGTTGAGGGGGCAATGAGAATACTTATACATGTACAAAGGCTCACAGATTATTAGACGACAGAGTCAATCAGATACCTACTCATCGGGATGCGATGTCGGTCATGTAATTGAACAAAATAGAGGAGGTTGAGCTGCAAGTATCCCGCCAGGCGTCGCACCAGGATCACCAATAATAGGCAACGAGATACTTAGAAGGGTAACACACCTGCTGTTATATCCGTCCTGCCGCAGAAAAACTTCGATTGTCTCCTATCATCGGAGAAATACGAAAACTATTGCGCAACAAGAGCTAGGAGATACTAGCGGGCTTTTCCGGCTTGAGAAGGGTGGATGGAGGGCAGTGGCATAAACAAGTCCCTTCAACGTCTTGACCAACTGTTTTACATTCTTATCAGAAGAAATACAAGGCCTGTTTGTGTAATTGACATGTAATGCAATCATTGTCTTCGTAATAACTCCATTATCAAGTTACCTTCATGAATACCGCCATGATCATGGGCATCTTTGTATCCAATGTTATCGATATCTATCCCTCCCACCGTGCTCTATTGCATACGATCAACTGAGAAAATTCAACGCTCGCTGCCGTTTTCCCATGTGTAAATACTCCAAAAATGCGTTCTCTCCTTCGCATAGATGTGTCAAGCACGCATTCCCATCGCCACTTTAATCCTCGTTCAACTGCATTGGCCACACTCGAGTCTGCTTCGTCCAGACAAAATTCACGCCTTTGTCTTCCGCTAGCTGTCTTATTTGATCAAAATTGATGTTATGAACCGTCGTGCTATACAGAGTTTTGAGTTTCACCGAGACCAATACGTCTTGGACAAGCTGAACGAAGTGATGGGGGATATACCGCTCTGACTCCAGGCTCAGCTCTTCCAAGCATGGAAAAGTTTGCAGGAACTGGATCAGAGGATTGTCCTTTGGGTACATGTGTGGCTTGAAGCTAAAATCGTACAAGCCCAGCCGTCGAATGCTCTCGGCCCCTTCAAGCCACTTGTACCCCTGGATGTGACTGGGGCTTGTTCCCTCTGGCCCCTCGTCCAAACGTTGCATAGGAAAGATGATGTCAAACGAGTGCAGCTTGCCAGTTCTTACGGACGGCATGAATAGATTATGCGCTGTTTCTGGCGATAGGACTGTGTCCGAGAGACGTATTGTCTGCAAGTCTTCGTATGCACTCGACAGATGCCGCTGCATGCGACTAAAGATATCGCCATCTTCCGGGCTCATGTCCATGTATTCAAGCTCGTAACATATATCTAGGTGCTTGAGTTTCTTTCCCAAATTTAGAGCTGTAAGATACTGGTATGCTTCGGTTGAACCTATCTGGTTTGGGTGTATATGGTGATGGTGATGACCGCGATTCGGACGATTTTGCGTATCCACAATCGTAAGGGATTTGAGGTTTGGTACGCAGCAATCGTCAAATGGCTCCTCATCTGGAAGATGGCAGCTGAAAATGAGATTCTCTACATAGAGTTGCTCGAGCTGGGGGGTATGTCTTAACCATTGAAGCTGGCAGGCGTTATTTTCTCATTCTGATGATCTTTGCTCCAGGTACTTACAATGGGCAATTGCCATGGCTGATTGGGAGCCTTGATTAATTTGAGATGCTTCAAATTAGGCATATAAGAAATTCCCACTGGATTGAACCACTGCCTGGGAATTCCGACAAGGGTCAAGGTCTCCAGTGTGTTCACGGCGGTCAGTAAAAAATAGAGATATGGATCTCTTTCTTCGTGACTAGGCGCATAAAGTTGATAGAATCCGTCAAGTCGTAACTGCTTGAGAGTCTTGAGATTTCCCCTAAAATTGGAGATCGAAATGTCCAGCCGTTCATATGGTCTAGCTAGCTCTAAGCGTTCCAGCCTGGCTCCTGCATTCAAGACAGCAGTGAATTTCCCCTGATCTAGCCTAAATCTTGAACAATCATCAATGACAAACTCCCTAACATCGTTTAACGAGTAAGAAAGTAACTTCCTCAACGAGGTGAATGGAACGCGCGGGGCTATGGCACCAGGAAAAATTAATGATTTCCAGAACCGCGCGCTTGCTGGGGCCGTTAACGCTTTCTTCCAAGATTTGGATACACGCAGACACTGGCTACATGAAACGAACATGTTTTGTTAGCATCGTTTATGCTTATCAAGAAATTGCTGCGGGACCTACCACAAAGTGAATATATCCAAGCGGCCAAAGATATCTCGAACAAGCTCCCCTGGCAGACTGGTCTTTGACATCAAACTAAGACTCAAAAATTCACCCAAAGGGTCAATCCTGCTGAATCTGAGCTTAAGTGGATCTCGAGCTTGATCAAGACGCTAGTATTTTGTTAAAATCTTGGGTTATGCCATCCATTTTTCACCTCCAAGCTGACGCACCTTGATATCCTCCACTTGAGCGCCTTCTCCCTCTAGAAGCCTTAGAATACCGTTGGTCAGCAAGTCGAAAGCAGCTCCTGGATCTTGATCGATCCGTAGAACCTTATTTGTGCGAAGATAGCCCTGTACAAGGTGAGCAAAACAAGGGAAAAGTAGATATTTGTTCCAGTTGTGAGATGCGTACTTCAGGTGAACATGGCGCTATACGCACCATTCGCTGCGCATCAGCTTTCGCGCGGCGAATGTCTGGAATCTTTTCAAACGTTCCAGCCCGGTAGCTAAGAGCTTGAAGATGAAGAGAATTGTAGCATTCGACAGTCACATCCAGAGCTGCCTGGTCGGCTCCCTCTGTATCATGGAGCTCTTGGGCCTCTCGCTTCCTCTTCCTCCTTTCCAGCGCACAAGGACAGAGGCTTATAGCCTGGAAATAGTTAGTGGCGGCCTTGCATGAGTTTGTAGCCAAGCGTTGATGACGGACCTCTGTGAAAACATGCAGGGCTTCTTTGTATTGGCCGGCCGCATACTTGGCACGCCCGGCTCTGATGGTGTCTTCCATGGAGACGTTTTCATCAAGGTCTGGAGTTGATGAATGTTTGATATACACACGCGGCGTGGACTCTGGCTGATGGCGCTGAAAAGTGGAAATGACGGGCGAGAATAGGATGTGGGTCTTGTGCCTGGCTTCCGCTTACTTAGAACAACGGCAAAGGAGTACAAAACATGATCAACGGAATCAAGCAAAAGAGATATAAATTGGAAACAAGTCACTGGCTGGCTGTGCGAAAGTGCCAAAGGCTGGCTTTGGCTAGCCCAGGATGAGATGTTGGATTATTACGAGATGAAAGTGACAGAGAGAGGTTGAAGTACGCGACTGATTCTAGCGCGGGGGAGTGGCGCTTAAGAGACGCAGCGACAGCCCTTTTACGTCTCCAGGCCTGCAAGTCTCAAATTATAGCAACAAGCAAACTAAACCAGCAGCCGAGATTGAGAATCTCTCTTAGCGGCATGACAAACACTTTTTGGCCCCGTGATTTGCCTGTATAAATTTATAGGGCTCATCGATGTCCAACTGTAATGCCTTAACACATGCAGCCTGATGGTACTACAAGTACTAGTATGCATCGCCATACCCTGGATGCGCACCCAGAGCTAATCAGCTGGCACCCATCCCGTATAGCACGTCTGGTAGTAATTATTTAATTATTTCGCTTCAACTTCCTCCTTTTGAGCTCAATGAGTTGCTGTACTTCAGCTCTACAGAATTACTGCTTGAGGCGGACAACGGCCGCGATGAATCCTCTTACGCCGTTACTAATCCAGCACTCTTCACCATCCGTGAGCGAGTCCGCCGGTACAGCCTGCTCGACAGCCACTCCTCTATACCCTGATGTTAGCCACTATTTTTGAGAGCTGGTGCGAATAGATGCTTGGCAGCTCACCTTTCCAAGGCCCATCGTCGAGATACACCATCTTGGCCACCACTTCCAGTGCTCAAATGGACAGGCGGCGTGACCCATCGTCCATCTCTCCAGAAATACGGCGTGAACAAGCTGCCTTCCATGACGGATCCGTCGTGTTTATTGACCAGTAATACTTCTCGCTCATCAGTCGGGGCGATTGCAAATCTCTCGCGGGCAGAGTCGTACATTTCTCTTTTGGTGGTCTTGAAATGCGTGTACTCTGATGCCATGGTCTGGAAATCATCAGGTGCCACTGTCCAGCATGGGGTTTTCTTGGCCTCTCCGGAAGTGGATGGAGTTCCAGGCTGAGGTAGTCGTAAGGGGAACAGATTTTCTGTGGGAACAGGAGCGACGTTGTTCTTCTCAAAGCTCACCACGCCATCGCGACTGACGAGGATTTTGAAACGCAGCGCAGTTTCCTGGGATGGGCCAATGAATTCTCCGGCAAGCTTTGTCAGTGTGTCCAAACCTTTCTGGCCCGAGAGAACATTGATGGCTTCATCCCACTTCCAATGGGTCGCCGCTCGCAGCATGCGATCGCGATGATAATCGAGCATGTAAAAGGGCGATTTATTGGCAGCATTCCACCCGGCGTAGTCGATGCCCTTGGAAGGGACTTCTAAGAGACCAGGATCGTACCGGAGAGAGGTGAAGAGAGAAAATATGTCCGCCATGGCGACGAATTGGTGCGTATACTGGTGTTTGATGGATGTGTGTGAGATTTGAAGCTGAGCTGAGCTGAGCTGTGTGTTGTGTTAGTAATGCGCCACTTCGTAACCGCAGCTTACTGCTGTTATCACGGAGAAAGAATGCACACAACGTCAGATATAGACAATGGAATTATATAGTTTGGGCGACGAAATGCAGTGCTATTTACAAATTTGTGCAAGAAATGTTTAAGAATACACTCAGCTGCAGTGTTTGTAAGAAAGTATTATTGCTCCTACGAATTGCTCCTGGACAGCTTCACAGTGCATACGGTATCACGCCACTTCATGTTGCTACGAGGTGCATGGCCAGCAACTAATAGCGGATAACAATGCAAGACTTCTGCGGCAACTTCAAGAGACGAATCGGCTCTAGGTAATGCCGCAGCTTAAGGCTGAATGCGAACGTGTGCAGGTCATCATATCGCATGTAGCTTGCTTACTGCGTTGCAGGCACTGGATAGGTGCACAGTATTTCAATCGTGCATATTCGATAACATGCTGTAGCAGCTGTCACGAAATCGTTACGAGCCGGCGGCCAATCTTGCAGCGGCTACATGTACGCACTTGGTACGGAATTATTACGGCGGCAGATCGATCTGGAGCCAATGGGCCAATGGGTGGATGTGCAAAGCATTGGTTCCATGGCTAGCATTTTCGCCCCAGGGCATATCGTCATAGTCGCTAGGGGCAGTTCGGATGTGCTCGATAGGCCTAGTACTTGCCTGACAAGATGCATGTATTGGCATAGCAGTAATCCCGATGAATAGATAAAGATTGCATAGATACAAAACGAATGAAATTACAAACAATCATGTTGCCTAGGCAATTTCGGAGCTTTTCCCAGGCGACCGGCGTTTGCGACTGCCAGGTTCTCGGATGTTAATGTTTTTTTTCTCTCAGTGGCTAGAGTGGAGAATGAGAAGCCAAAAGAAAAAAAAATTCAGAACCAGCTCCTGCTGCTTGGTTCCTTCTAGCTCGAGGTGGGTTACTTAACCGCCCGCCAGCCGGTGGAAATTTCGACTAGAGAGGATTGAACCACTTGTGGCCGTGCCATCATTCATTTTTTACTGCGCGTGTCCAGCTATTGCTGCAGCTCTTCCTGCGCCCCGACATCATTCCAACGGCCTATTCCAGCCCCCAGCACTTCTTGCGTCTTTCGTCTCCATCTCTCGTCTCGAGCTCGCAGCGCTCTAATTCCCGCCCCGGCCATGTCTAACCCGCTGCCGTCAATGCCTCCGGGCCGCCCCGCCGCTGTCGCTGTCGACGCGAATTCGTCCTCGACCTGGGACCGGATATCGTCGTGGGTGTCGGAGAACAAGGCCGTGGTCTATACCATTGCTGGCGTGGCTGTTGTTGTCACCGGCGCGGGCGTCGTCTACTATCTGAATTCCGATTCGGTACGTCTTTTGTTGTTGTGTGGTTCATGGAGGGGTTGAATGATTGCATGACGGCATAGCATCGCAACAGCCGTGCTGGAGTCGCCGCCGAATTGGCAGCAGAAAACTGAAACCAGAGAGCGCCGCCGATAACAGAGAGCGAGAGAACCAAATACTAACCAGCACTGCTTGCAATAGAAGTCCGATGCGTCACCAAAGCTCAGCAAGAAGGAGAGGAGGAAGCGCAAAGAGGCCGAGCGCAAAGCCGCCGACTCCAAAGCTACTCCGTCCAAAGCCGCCACCGTCGAGTCTGAATCCGAGCTGCCAGAGATCAACGAAGCCACCGTTCTACAGCTGAGCCCCGAGGTGCGAGATCAGTATGCCGCTCGGCTGAAGCAGGCCGGTAACAAGGCCTACGGAGATAAGGCATACAACAAGGCCATCGAGCTCTACTCCCAGGCCATTCTGTGCAAGCCAGATGCCGTCTTCTACTCCAACAGAGCTGCTTGCTACAGCGCCATGAGCGAATGGGAAAAAGTCGTCGAAGATACCACAGCTGCCATCAGCATGGACCCCGATTACATTAAGGCTATTAACCGCCGTGCTACTGCCTACGAGCACCTGAAGATGTACTCCGAGGCCCTTCTCGACTTCACAGCCTCTTGCATCATTGACAATTTCAAGAGTGAATCAACTGCCCAGGCTGTTGAGAGACTGCTAAAGGTCTTCGCCGAGCACAAGGCCAAGGAAGTCATGGCATCCCGGCCCGCCAAGCTCCCCAGCCCCATCTTCGTCGGCAACTACCTGCAGAGCTTCCGCCAGAAGCCCCGCCCTGCGGCACTTGACGACTCAATCGAGCTCTCTCTGGATACCGGTCTGGGACAACTGCAGCTCGGTTTCCAGGGACTCGAGCAGAAGACGGCCGAGGGATACGAGGAGGCCCGACAGGCGTTCGAGAAGGCCATAGAGTTGGGCGATCTCGGCGAGCACGAGGCTCTTGCTTACAACCTGCGGGGTACCATTCGAACCCTCCTCGGCAACCACGCCGCGGCGACGGAGGATTTCGACCGCAGTATCGAACTCGACCCAAAGATGACCCAAAGCTACATAAAGCGAGCTAGCATCAGTTTGGAGCTGGGTGCGCCTGACAAGGCCGATGCTGAGTTTGACAGGGCCCTCGAGCAGGATAACGACGACCCCGATGTCTACTACCACCGTGCCCAGGCCCACTTCATCAAGGGCGATCTCGCAAGCGCACAGAAGGACTACCAGAAGTCGATTGACCTGGATAAGGACTTCATCTTCTCCCACATCCAGCTGGGTGTTACCCAGTACAAGATGGGCTCCATCGCGTCGTCCATGGCCACCTTCCGACGATGCATCAAGAACTTCCCCAAAGTCCCCGACGTTTACAACTACTACGGCGAGCTGCTGCTAGACCAGGGTAACTTCCCCGAGGCCATTGAGAAGTTTGATACCGCCATGGAGATGGAGAAGCAGTCAAAGCCAATGTCCATGAACGTTCTGCCTCTGATTAACAAGGCCCTCGCCCTCTTCCAGTCATCGGCTGACTTCAAGGAGGCAGAGAAGCTCTGCCAGAAGGCTCTCATTAGTCAGTATTCCCCTGTTTCTATTCTACTATGACAATACTGACTTATCCTTCTACAGTCGATCCCGAGTGCGATATTGCTGTAGCTACCATGGCACAGCTTCTTCTTCAGCAAAATAAGGTCACCGAGGCGCTCAAGTACTTTGAGCGTGCTGCAGAGCTCGCCCGAACCGAGGGCGAAATTGTCAACGCCTTGTCCTACGCGGAGGCTACGCGCACCCAAGTCAAGGTCACGGAGAAGTACCCTCAGTTGGCAGAGAAGCTCGCAGGCGGTTCAGGTGGCCCTAACGGACTGCGCATGCCTTAGTTTGACCCAGCATGAACGGGGCTGCAGACTCAAAGAACGGGTTAAAAATAATGAAAAGAAGAAGTAAGAATAAGAGTGAGGAGAGGACAGCCCT